CGTCGGCCTCCGCTCGGCTCGCGGCCCCGAGGCGGCGGCTGCGGCGGCGGCACCAGCAGCGGCGGCCGCCGGCCGGGAAAGGGGCAGCGGCGGCGGCGGCGGCGGCGAAGAAGGAGGAGGAGGAGGAGGAGGAGGAGAAGGAGGAGGAGGAGGAGGAAACCCGGAAAAGGGGCCGCGCTCACTAGGAGCGGCCGCCGCCCGGCCCGGGGCCGCCCAGCCTCACAGCGCCCCCTGCAGCGCGGGGGGACCGGCCGGGCGGCGCCGGCCCCGCCCCCCGCCCCCCCCCCCGCCGCCCCCCCCCCCCCCCCCCCTCCCCCCGTGGCCCCCCCCCCCCGGCGGGGGGGGCCCCCCCCCCCGGGGGTTCCCCCCCCCCCCCGCGGACCGCTGCCTTTGAGACTTGCGGGTCGTGGGCCCTTTCAGGACTGTCCTGGCGACCCCTACCTCAAGCCCTCCACCCTCTCGTCATCCAGAGTTTGCCCGCCCCGTACCGACCCCGTTCTGACCCTCCTGTCGACCAACCCGTCCCCATCAAGCCCCTCCCAAATTAGTCACTCTTACCACTGAGAACATCCCCCACCTCAAGATTTCTCCCTCCCTCCCGGAGACACCCCCTCTTTCTCCGATGGACCCTGCGCTATCACCCATGGATTCCTCAACCTCAAGACTTCCCCTTCTTCCTTCAGCCAGAGCCTTCCTCACAAAACCCTTCTCTTTCACTTGCCCCCAAATCCCTTCCAGAGCCTTCCCTGAGAACCCGCTGAATGCTTACTTCTGTCACTTGGTTAAGCTGGAGTGGGCCACGTAGCTCGTTGTAAAGTTCCTATTTTTCCCTTTGAAATTCATAAGCAGTCTGTGGGGAGACACTTTGAGACTCTGAAAATGTCCTGTTTTGGGGGGGAGGACAGAACGGAAGAAGAATGGTGAGTCCCGCCTGAAGGGACCGGCGAGCGGTTGGGCATGGATTGAGGGTGAGGTGGCCAGCCAAACTTTGTCCTATTTTATTATGTTGCTTTTTAGCTCCTAACACTCTCCACTCTTTGATCTTCTGGGCCCCTCTTTTATCTTGCTTTCCCATTCCGTATCCTCTATCAACAGCACTTCCCACTCAGCCCGGGTGGCTCTGACTCCAGTCTTTTTTTATATTGTTTTCTAGGTGAGACCCTGCTTCTCCTTCTTGATATAGTTGAGAGCATAGGCTGTAGAGTCAACTCCATCCTAGCTGGTGCTGCTTATAAACTGTGTGACCTTGGGCTGATAACTTAGCTTCTCTGTGCTGCAGATTTTACAGCATAAAAACAGTAATGGCCTTCTTCACAGGGCTATAGGGAGACTTAGACAAGGCAAACCATGTAAAACACTTAAAACGAAGTGCTCAGTACCATTATTAGCAGACCTGGAGGCTTTCTCCTATCACTTTTCCCTCCCTGAGACCACCACGTGGTCAGCTTTTGGTTCCTTCCACCCTCCAAGCTTGGCCATGGCTGCCTCCTCTCACTCCATCCCCACCTTTCCCATGCCTGCTGCCTTCTTTCTCCTCCTCAAGTCTCACCTTTTAGGCTCATTTTATTTACTTGGGTGTGGATTATATCTAGTTGTAAACAGGGAACGGCGTGAGCTCCTGGTCCTCCTACTCCGCCATCTTCCCAAACTCTCTTTAAGTTCATTTTATAATTTTTTAAGGAAGTTTTATTATTTTTTAATGGATTTTTTTTTTTTTATTTAGGTGCACCTGGCTGGCTCAGTTGGAAGAGCATGCCACTCAATCTCAGGATTGTGAGTTCGAGCCCCACATTGGGTGTAGAGATTATTAAAAAAAATTTTTTTTAAAACTTTAAAAATATATTTATTTATTTGAGGGGGGTGGGGCAGAGGGAGAGGGAGTGGGAGAATGTTAAGCAGACTCCTGGCTGAGCGTGGAGCCTGACACGGGGCTCAATCTCACAACTCTGAGACCATGACCTGAGCTGAAATCAGGAGTCGGACGCTCAAGTGACTGGGCCACCCAGGCGCCCCATATTAAAAAAAATTTTTTAATGGATTTTTTATTTAAATCTGTACTTTTTTTTAAAGTAAGCTCTACACCCAACGTGGGGTTCAACTCAAAACCCCCAAATCAAGAGTCACATCTCTATGGACTGAGCCAGCCAGCCAGGCACCCCTTTAAGTTCACTTTAAATGGTAGAGTTGATACTTCTCTATCTTAGCACTCTATCCTTCAGAAAACTGCTTATTTTGTAATTGTAATTCTTTCTCCTCCAGTGTAAAACAGCATGAGAGCAAGAACTGAATCTGGATGCTCACCACTGGCTCACCAGCATTCGCCACATTTAAGACTTTCCACGAATACAGTGTAACCCCATAGATCACTAACTAATTAGAAAGTGGAGGTCACTGCTTTAACCAAATTTAAGACAAGTCAAATTTAACATTATCAGTAAGGGATCAACAGACCCTGTGATGTGATGCACCAAGAAGGGACATGGCATCTGCCCAAAATGCTTACCTTGAATCTCATTATGAGGACACAATCAGACAAATCCAAACTGGGAAACATTCTGCAAAATAGCGAAGTCTGGTACTCTTCAAAACTGTCAATGTCACAAGAGAAAACAACACAAAAGAAAACGAAATTTGGAGCAGTGCTCTTGACTAAAGGAGCCTGAAAGAGAGAACTGTGTAATTCTGGATTCAATCCTGAATGAGAAAGGTAAGAAGGAAAGGAGGAAGGGAGGGAGGGAGGGAGGGAGGGAAGGAAGGAGAAATACAGCAAAAAGGACCCGAGCGAATGGGACTACTGGGGCAATTTGAATATAGGATGTACATTACATAATAGCATTGCATCAATGTTAAATTTTGTGAGTGTGAGGATTATCTTGTGGTTATGCAGGAGAGTCTCATGATCTTAGGAGTTACATGCCAAGTGTTTAGGATGAAGTATCATAATATCTGCAATTTATTCTCAAATGGTTCTCCAGAAGAATGTGGGTTCCCTAGAGCACAAGCATACATGGGAAGAGGAGTGCAATTAGGCAAAGATGTTGACAATTGTAGAATATAGTTGAAGACTATATGAGCTCACAACTTTTCAGTAGGTTTGAAAATTTTCAAAACAAAAGCTGGAAGAAGATAAATAAAGCATTTATGGAGTAAGTAGACTTTGGAATTTAAGTCCAGAACCGGCAAACCTCTCTAAATGTTTTCCACGCAAGAAGGCACATTCTCCAGCTCTTAAAGCAGCGTTTGGATTTTTTTCTGACAAGTCCCTGTGAACTAGTCTAGGCCAGAGGTTCTTAATCCTGGGCCTCTGGATGAGCTGCCTGGTTTCCAGGAGTCCCTGACACAGTAGGCAAAATGTGTGGGTAACTGCGCATGTGTGTGTGTGTGTGTGTGTGTGTGTGTGTGTGTGTGTGTGTGTGCGCGCGCGTGCGCATTCTTTCCTTAGCATCCATCAGATTCTCAAAGGAAGCTGTGACCCAAAAATGGTTCCAAACCCCTGGTCTGACTACTAGGTCCAACCCTAGTGGGGGCCCCATTCCTTGCCTCCACCCCCCCCACCTCTGACCCCACACACCCTCTCTGCACCTTCCTCTCTTCCCTCACCACCTAACCCACACCCATCTCACGTAACCTGCTCTCACACCTGCTGGGATGCCGAGGATTCACCCACACATCACTCTGGTGCAACGCGCTCCTGGATTTGGCTGACACTTCGCTAACTCAGCCCTGAAACCTGCAGCCGGTCCTCCCACGGCAGCACTGAGTACGTTTTTATGATGTGTTGGTAGGTAGGTTGGGCTCCCCATGGCCTTGGTGGGGACCAACCGACTCTCCTTCCTGCCAGCCCACCATACGGTGTGCTTGATGTGAATTAAGATTGGCAGTTGGGGATGGTACCAATGCAGTTCTCACTGGAGTAAGTCTCACTAGGATATGAAGAGGGACAGGCCGGTGGCTCTGCAGGGTTGGGTGACAGTGAGCTATAATCGACTTTTCCTAATTACCATGTGTGTGTGGGTTTAGGGGTGAGTACAATCCAGGATGACACAAGGGAGAATGAAAGACAGCATCTTGGGTCAAATAGGCCAACAATTTCATACCAACTCTTATGCTCCCAAATTCTATTCTGAACACACACACACACACCACAAAAATGTAAAACCCTCAGAAGAACATCTTCTGTCTTCACAAGGTCTATTTCTAGAACATTTGAGAGAGTTACAGGCTTTTATCTCATACGGCTGGTTCTAAGAACTTAGTCCAAGAAAATAATATAAATTACGATCAAAGAAATATTAAGAGTGGTGACAATTCATGTGTTCAATATCACTGAATCCTGCAAAAACCCTGAGGTTAAGACCCACTGAATTTGTACTTTAAATGGGTGAATTATATGGTATGTGAATTATAGCTTAAGAAAACTGTTAAAAAAAATGCTGAGGTTGGAGTTGTAAGGATCCTGTTTTTGCAGTTGAGGAAACCAAGACTCTAATGACATGGAGAATTGAGGCAGAGCCTGGATTTGAACCAAGGCTTTTCTTTTTTTTTAAAGATTTTATTTATTTATTCATGAGAGACAGAGAAAGCGAGAGAGGCAGAGGGAGAAGCAGGCTCCCCGCTGAGCAGGAAGCCCGATGCGGGACTCGATCCCAGGACCCTGGGATCACGACCCGAGCCGAAGGCAGACGCCCAACGATCTGAGCCACCCAGGCGCCCTGAACCAAGGCTTTTCTGACCACCAACTCCATTTCTGTAACCCTTTTCTAATTCTACATATCCACCTCCCGAAAGAACCAAAGACATTCATCATGAAAATCATGAAAGACAAAACAACCCAAATATCCCAAATTGCAGGACCACTTAAATAAATTGTGTTATATCCCTTGCAGTACAGTATTAGGCACCATGAAAAATTATGATTATCCTGAACTTTTAGTGATGAGAAAAATTTTATTATATAAGGCTTTTTAATAAGGGTTATTTATTTTTTTAAAAGTATTTATTTGAGAGAGAGAGAGAGAGCGTGTGCACGCGCGAGCACGAGCACAAGTAGGGGGGAAGGAGTCGAGGGGGAAGGACAAGAAGGCTCCACACCAAGGTCGGAGCCGGACTCGGGGCTTGATCCCACAACCCTGATATCATGACACGAGCCGAAATCCAGAGTCAGGTGCTTAACCGACTGAGCCATCCAGGCAACCCGGGAAAGGTTTTATAAAAGTTACATAAGTAATGGTGGTAAGCAGAACAATGCCACCCTCCCTGCCTTGTTCCCCAAAGATAATCTGCTTCCAAATCTCTGTAGCCTGTGAATATGTGACTATGTTACCTCACTTGGAAAAAGAGACTTTGCAGATGTGATTAAATGCAGGATTTTGAGGGGCACCTGGGTGGCTCAGTCATTAAGCGTCTGCCTTCAGCTCAGGTCATGATCCCGGGGTCCTGGGATAGAGCCCCACGTGGAGTTCTCTGCTCGGCAGGGAGCCTCCTTCTCCCTCTCCCTCTGTCTGCTGCTCCCCCTGCTTGTGCTCTCTCTCTCTCTCTCTCTTTCTCTCTCTGTCGAATAAAAAAAAAATCTTAAAGAAAATAAATGCAGGATTTTGAGATGGAGAAATTATCCTGCATTATAGCCAGGTGGGTTTAATGTTGTAGGGATCCTTAAAGGGAAGAGGGAGGCAGGAGCATCAGAGGTAGATATGGTGGTGGAAACAGAGGTCGGGAGGGTGGGACTGCTGGCTTTAAAGAAGGAAGGGGGCCATGGGCCAAGGATTGTGGGCAGCCTTTGGAAGCTGGGGAAAGGCAAAGACACGAAAATCTCACCTAGAGCCTCCAGAAGGAATCCAGCCCTGCCAACGCTTTGATTTTAGTCGAATGAGACCCATTTTGGACTTCTGAGCTCTTGAACTCTAAGATTATAAATTTGTGTTGTTTTATGCCACTAAGTGCGGTGATTTGTCATGGCAGCAATAGGAAACTCACTCAGTAGTATGTGGTTACTAAACATTTACCGGGAAATGCACAAGTCCATGAGGTGAAAGTTGCTCTTCTTTGCCTTTCACATGTCCACAAGCTGGCCTGTATCTTTCAAGGCCCTTTGCTATGCGGTAAGGACAGAGACTACACGCATGTTCTTTTGTATTGCTTCACTTAGTTTCAAGGCAGGATTACTGGAGTGTATGTATAGATTCAGCAGGTAAGTTCTCGGGCATGTAACAAATGCATAGGAAAAGAACTGGAAGGAAATACACTAAAGTGCCTTTGAGTCTTTTAGAATCGGAAAAAATAACCAATGTTTACAGGTTGTTGACTATCCTAGCCTTTCCCCCAACAACTTGTGATTTATGGGGGCTTTTTGCCAGTTGGGAAGGGAATAGAGGGTAGGGCAGTAGGGTCTTAAATTCTCTCTGTAACCAAGGAGTCTACAGGAAATGCTGGATCCTCATGTCAGGGTGTCTTTGAGGCTCCAGACAGGTGAATGAAATAGGTTAATTAGGCCCCCACTGGCTGCACTTCACCTGGGTACGTTTATATGCAACTTGCTTAGAACTATCACTTTTTTATTCTTTTTTCCCCCTGATTATCCTTAAAGGGTGACCCACTCAGCTCTCACCCAGAAAGTGCCTCTGAGGGGACTGGGGTGGAGGGCGGAGAGGATGGGGCAGAGCCTGCCCAGGCTAGAAGTGATAGAAACAGAAATTTTTGGCTGGTGCTCCAGTGAGGTCTCCTTTTATTCAATGTTGCCCAACTGAAAAAGGGGGCACGCTTTTAGCCCCTATCCCTCAATACCCACCTATTCTCAGAAGCTCAGTGAACTCAAATTCTCCTAATACTCTCAGGGAAGGATGGATAAACTCATTTGGGCTAAACTGTGAATAACAGCTTCCTAAAAGGGATTTGTATTTCAAGGGGGTCAGGACTAACAGGTCTTGCAGAACGGGTCCTTAATCCTGGATGGGGGGGGGTATTTTGGAGGGTAGATGGTACTTTCTCTGGGGGGCCACACCTGGTCTGGGAGGTTGTGGGAAACATTTGGAGGGAAGTGGGCTAACCTCTAAAGTAGCAGGCCCCGGGCCCACGGTAAGACCATTGTACTTCACAGACATTCATCTGCTTCCTGCCCAACTGCTCTTCCAAATTGTCCAGAATCAACCATCACCTTTCATGCCCCTTCTGTCACCAAGCCAGCTGGCTTTCTGTCCAGATGACAGCTCCCTTCTAGCCTCCCGTCTGGGCGCCCATAGCCTTTGCCCTGATTTAACCCCATTTTCTGAAGTGATTTCTGGGCTGTCAGACTCACCACGTGATAACTCAGGATCCTTAACCTGGGTCAGTGGCTAGGACTCAGTATGTTCATAAACTTAGATGAAAATAATTACATCCTTATTCACAAACCTTTAAATGAAATTTCGCATTTCTTTCCATGATGGATATAGTAAACACTCAAAAACAAAAATAAAAACCAAACACACGAGCCGTACCTGAGTTTGTCACCACTAGAAATCACAGATATTTGCTTATCACTTTGCAGTTGGTGTTATTTTAAAGTAGAAAAATTTGCTCTCCAAAAGGACCAGCTGCTCTAATCGTTGGAGGCAAAAGAATATGAAGGAACCTCCTAACATTGGGCTTTACCCCCTAGGTTCTAACCTCCACTCTTCCTCGTCTTAGGGTATCAGTTTTGAAGATTCTGAGCCCGAGATTTCATAGCTTTTTATTTCCCCCAATAGATACTAGTGACTGTATCAAGGAATTAAAACACACACACACACACACACAAAAAAAGCAACAGCAACAAAACTAAAAGATGTTGCACCTGCAGGCTCTAATTTTTGTTTTAGGAAATGCATCATTTCTGGGTACTTGCAGAAGTCTTCCTGTTTGATTGGAAGATGACCTGGGAAGCCCAGATGCTAGCGATGGGCCCTGGGAATGTGCAAGCCTGGCAGCTCGTGTGCCACATGGGCACAGAGGACAAGAGAAGTCTGCATAGAGGAACTGCCAGCCCCAGAAAGCACAATCCAAGCCCAGGAGAATCCAGACTCCACACCCCTAAGGTGGGGATCAATCCCTTCACCAAGAAAGTAGAGGAGGGGACACAGGTGACAGTGGCAAAGATGGTTGGGTTAAGGAGGTCCTGGCCATAAGCACACCAGACGTCGGTGGCATTGTGGAACCATTGTGGAGTCAAGCAGGGACTCCCCCTAATTCGAACAAGAATCGTGTTATTCTGCAACACCCTAATCCTTAGACCGTGTTCTAATTTTGCAATTTGCCCCAATAATGTCCTTTAGAGCCAAAACATTCCCCTCCAGAACCACAGAACCACGGTTAGTTGGCATGTTTGTTTTTTTTTTAAATCGAGATATTTTGACATTATTAGTATTAGTTTCAGGCATACGACATAATGATTCAATACATGTATGTACCATGAAACAATGATTGTATGAAGTCTAATTAACATCCAGTGCCACACATAGCTATGGAGTCCTTGCTCATTCATCTCAGTTTAGAGAAGTTCCTCCATTTCTTGTCGAAGATGATTATCAGTTATTTTGTAATCTGTTCCTCAATTTGGGGCTATCCAATGTTTTTTCATGATTTGATTTAGGTTATATATCTTTGGCAGAAATCATAGAAATAATACATATCACAGGAAAATATGTATATAATCATCAAAATAACATATATGTCACAGAAAAATACATACAGGTATATATATGTTATATATATTATATATATATAATCATGGAAATAATGCTGTGTACTTCTCATTGCCTCCTATCAGATGGTGGACAATTTCTATTTGTTCCATTACTTGGGGTATTAACTTCAATCACTTGACTAGCATCTGCCAGATTTCTCCATTGTAAAGTTACTCTTTTTTACCTTTTTAAGAACTATTTTATGGGGAACTATTTTATGGGGAGCTCTTTTGAAAACTGTGTAATTATCCTGGTCCTCATCAAACTATTTATTCATGTTGGCAGGGACTTGCGGATTTCTAGTTTATTCAGTGAGTTAGAATCGATTCTTGTCATTAGTTATGTTGATGTTCAAGCTGTCCTTTATTTGGCTAGTGGGAGACCCTTTAAGCTAGATCCTGTATCCTTTTGATGTGCCACACCATCCTTTGAGCACTTTCTTAGTGGGTTTTTTGTTTGTTTGTTTGTTTGAGATTTTATTTGTTTGAGAGAGAGAGAGCATGAGCAGAGAGAGGGAGAAGCAGGATCCCTGCTGAGCAGGGAGCCTGATGCGGGACTTGATCCCAGGACCCTGGGATCATGACCCGAGCTGAAGGCAGACGTGCAACCAACTGAGCCCCCCAGGCACCCCAGCACTTTCTTAGTTTTTGGCACAAAGAATGTTCCAGGCTTTTCTTGAATTTTCCCTGCCCCAGGCCTGGAATCAACCATTTCTCCAAGGGGGTCCTGATTCCTTTTAGTGGAGAATAATATTTGGAAGTCAGGATCTGGACATGAGGTATGTTCATTGTTATTGGACTATTGCTCCCAGGCCTTCTCCAGTGGCCCGAGCTAGAGAATATATGTATGCGTGCGTGTGCGCGCGCGCGCACACACACACACACACACACAAACACACACACATCCATTTCCATCTGTATTTATTTCTATATATATCCGTGTCTATTGAAAACTATGAGTTCACTCCATATCTCTGATTCCAATCTATCACCATAAAATTCATTCTCGTCTTCTCCCTTTCTATATTCCTACCCCTCTTTTCTGACCGTGAGCAATCTGGCACATGCGGGGCTCTTTTAGGTGGAGGAGGGTGTGCTAAGAAAGGCCTCTCTGAGGAGGTGACATTTAAGCTGAGACTTGAAGGAAATGAGGGCAGAAGCCATGCAGATTCCGGGAGAACGGTGTTCTAGGCAGAGCACGGCAGGCAGCCGGACTCCTGCGGCTGAGCCAGTGGGCAGATGAGGTCATCCAGGTAAGAGAAGGTAGTTCAGGTAGCACTTTGTAGACCATTGTAAGGACTTTGGTTTTGATAGTGACAAAGATAGGAAGCCAACAGAGCATTTCAAATACATAGGCACGTCCTTTGGTAAAGGATTGCTCTGACTGCCAAATGGGGAGGCAGGGAGACCAGCAGGAGATCTGCAGTAAGACTGAGAGGAGGCGTTGGCTGGGAAGGTGGTGAGAAATGGTCAGATCAGGGAATTATTTTATAGGGGAAGCCAACAGAATCTGTGTGAGATTATAGATGTGGGACATGGAGTGTGAGAGATGGGTGGCCATACGTGGGGCTCTGTAAGTGCTTGTTATGTAAATAAAACAGAAAAATTGTATGCAAAGCATTTAGTACACCACGCAGCATGCAATAAACTAATTACGATCCCTGTTTATCTTTTATGAATGAAGGTGAAGGTGAAGGGCCCGCAGATCCAATGCTGGCCCCGTCCTGGCATCCTGGAATGTTACCTCTTGAGCAGAGCTACCCCTTTTCCACCAGAGCTCCTTCCCATCCCTCCCCACCCTGTCCAGTGAGTCAAAACGCCCACTTGCTCTGAGCCCTGTCTTGGCAGGGTGTGGGTCGGCATCCGATAAGCTCATTCACAACCAGCTGTTGACTTTTTGCAAGATGCCTACCCCTCCCAGAGGTATTCACGTTTTCAAAAGGCGGCAACTTATTTACTGAGTTTGGGGATGCAGTAGAATCTCTGACTGTGATTCTGAGTGGTGAAGGAGGAGGTGAAGGAGGTCATTTGATTATGGGAAGCACACAAATGACCCCTTGCAGAACTTGGGGACATTTTTGAAAGGGCCCAGCCCAGGGCCAGCCTGCATGTCTCCTCTCCCTTGCCTCACACAAAAATCCTGGGCATTTACCACCTCCTTTTACCCTGAGGATGCTGCAG